CGCTGGGTATAACCTGCACCCGACGGGCTTTTGAAGTTTAAATTAACTTTTTGTTTTTCGTTAACCTTTGAAGGCTCTTTTAATTTAAAAACTGACCTTTCAACTTCCTTTGCAGCTTTTATTTTTTCAGCTAAGTTTTGGCCGAATAATAGGCCATCGACTGGAGTTCCCTGAATAACCTCTTTGATAGAGGTATTTAGTGAGCTCGTTACTAAGTGTCTTCTATTTAGAGACAAATTATGGTGAACATCAGTTAAGAGTTTTGCTCCATCGCTCAACCGAGAGATTAGCTGGTTTTTTGCATCCAGGCTATTACTGTCAGTCAAAAGACTTGAAAGGCCCTTACCTATGGCCGAAATGCCATGGCCCAGCATGGCTTGAGTTATCTCGGGGAATTTGTCCTTTTTAATTGTAATTGATGGGACTGCTTTCTTTATTTCAAGATTAATAGCTGGTGACTTTAAGGTTGGAATATTATTTGGGATTGGGTATTTTTCCTTCAAGGCTTCCCGCTCCTCCTTACCAAGTCCACCACTTAGAATTTTCTCCCATCGCTTTTTTAACACAACATGAGCCTCATACCCATGTTTATTGACGTTTTTCTGCTCCCCCAAGGCTTTTAGAATGTCGTCGTCCAAATTAACGTCCTCTGTAAGAACTAACGCCTCTGGTGACCTGGGTGACCCTTGCAAATTCGCTAGGTCTATCAGGTTTTCCTGATCTTCTCCTGTTTCCCTTTCCAAGGGCACAGGAGGGCTACGAGGTGAGTGTCGAGGTCTTGATCTGGTCGTAGACTCAGATCGGCTACTTCGGCTAGTTGAACTGAGTCGAGCTGAAGTTGAACCCTCATAGCGATCGAGTCTCTTTTTGAGTAACTCGAGCTCTTTAACAACATAGGAATCTCTTCCTCAATTTCCATTGTAAGAATAAGAGGCATAAGAGCCCTGAGAGCGTCTAGACTTCGATTCTCTAGAACCTTCGGAAATCCGAGATCGAGATCGAGAAGGAGAAACAAAATGGCGGTTCTTATGAGGAGAATGCCCATGCCGAGACCGAGATCTGTTTCGAGAACAGCCCGGCGAGCGATCAGCTGGCGATCTTTTCCTTTTCCCCATCGGGCTAAGGAAGCAAAAAGGGATTTTGTAAATTTTTCGTGACGCCTTCGGCTGCACAAAAAAGCAAGATGACTCTACCGGTTAAACAGGGTCCTGTAGTCGGTAAGGGCAATGATTGACATTTTGAGTTCTTTGAAATTTGTGACTCCCTCTAGTACAAAAAGCAGTACTACATAGTAAGATAACGCAGTGATCTTGAGGACGAGGTGCGTAATATAATTCGAATATTTACCGTCAGGATTCTGCGCAAAGCTTAGAAGTCACAAACCTGTCAGAGCGAATTTCATTGATTGAAAATAGTCAGAAAGCTGTTTGTTTGCGATTTTCACCAATCAAAAACGGTCAGGGGGGGCTTTATTTGAAATTGATGCAACTTTGCGTACACGAAAATGACGTCATTCGTGATTGAAAATTGGTCCACGGCTTATTTGACATGCACATTTTCAATCGCAACTGACGTGACGTCATTTGCGTCATATTTGCGTGTACGCAAAGTTGCATCAATTTCAGATAAAGCCCCCCTGATTGCTTTGTGATTTCTGTGAGAACAGACCTTAAAATTTGTGCCTAGAATCCTCGATTATGCATATTATAATAAGTAACAAAGACGGAACACTCGTTCTTCCTGGGAACGCTGCTCCCCTGTTTCAAGAATAAGGACCCAGCAGATGGCGATACAGGGTGAACCAAATGGGGAAAAAGTTGCGCAATCAAGTTCCTATCTATCATCAACTTCAATTCTTATTTGAACATCTTAGCCGCTTTCCAGTATGGGAGTGTGACGCCCGGGGCGTTGAGCTCCCGAGCTGTACGTACCGTACGCACGCGTCAACCTGTCAGCTGTCACATCCGTGGGTGGCTATTTATTTATTTATTTCTTGTTATATCTCGGGATTGAATATTTTCAAAATATAGTTTTGATTCTCTTTCATTTTTGATAAATAAAAAAACAATCTGCACAAGACACAAATAAACAGATAATTATTTTTAAAATTTGACATATTTGACACTAAGACAGACGTCTCACGCCATTACTGGAACGGTACAAATCTAGTGCGTGGCGCCCCCGAGGTGCCAGGGATGTTCCAACGTGCACAATTGTGCATATTATGCACAATCTGATCTCAATATGCACCATATGCACAATCTTCATAAAATATGCACAATTTTCACAATCCAGCCAAAACAAAATTATTTCCTTTCAGCAAACCTTTAGCCTTTGGTAACCTCGACTTGCGCCTTGGACCTTACTTGGTAAGGTCTCGGTACACACCACTACTACAGATAGCCTATCCTCAAAGGGCTTGTGTAGATCAATGGTCAAGCCCTCCTCCCATCTCCCGTCAACGAACCAGTGATGACGTAGACCGCGTGTCGTGTCTGGCAGGATGTAGAGTGTTTGTACCACAGCAAAGACTTCCGCTGGCTCTTGCTTTATGCATACTTGGCTTTAGTACATTGATTATCATTCTAATGGCCGTTTGCGCCGATCATTTTGAGGGAGGTTTAACGATAATCAACACTTTAAGCGTTGAGTGTAGTAGTATGTATTATCTTTGATAACAACTGTCAATTTAGAGCACCAAAATGGCGGCGGGGGCATGGCTCACTTATATTTTCGATTTTCATATTATACTTATGTCTTATGAGCCACCTAATGGCGGCTTACTTCCATTGTCATCACTTGTTGGTATAAAGGTTTATCGCGAGTCACTGCATAATTTTTATTTTATTTCGACGCCATCTATAAATGTCTCATAAGTATCCATTTTTCGACGACAACTTGTATAGTGTAGGACATTCTACCCCTGCTTTTCGTAAAACCCAAGAGATGGCGCTATTACTGTACGTAAATCACGTCACATTTAGGCATGTGCACAATCTCAAACGAATATGCACAATTTTTCATTGGTTGGATGCACACTTGAAAATTCTCCTGGAACAACCCTGCGAGGTGCTCTAGAGCGCGCCCATACTGGAAAGCGGCTCTTGATTGTATCTTTTTCTTTTATAATCATTTTTATAATAAACAAGATTAAAGGCTTGAATAAAACGAGCTTTTTTCTTTTTTGCCCTGTATATCCGTGGCTATTCCGAGTTTAAAGAATTTTATGACAGATTATTTGTAGGCACGTTAGGCACTTGATTGCGCAACTTTTTCCCCATTTGGTCCACCCTGTATCTTCAATGGTATCCAAAATCCCAAGGTACTTCAAGTTACTCCGCTCCGGTCACCCTGTATATCAATGAAATCAGCTAAAGCACAGCTATCCAATATCCAATGAGTTATATAAGGTCTGTTCTGCAGAAATCACAAACCAGTCAGAGTGAATTTCATTGGTTGAAACTAGTTTTCTGACTGTTTTTGGCTATTTTCAACCAATGAAATTCGCTCTGACTGGTTTGTGATTTCTGCAGAAACAGACCTATTGATGTACAGGGTATCTCAATTGAAAAAAATGTATATTTATTTGGTTTATAATTTGAGAACCATTATCACATTAATGTAGAGAAAAACTGACTACGCCACTGGAATCTACATAGAAAGATTTAAAAGAACCCGTTGTCACCTCTTCGAGTCTTCGATCACATATATGATAGAGCCGAGATGCAAGGAGTGTCCCAAAATGCAACATATTCAAAAACACCTTGCATTTGAAAAACAAAAAGGACTGTCGACGATACCTTTTAACTCCAATTAATAGCAAGTAAGTTATCCCTTTGTACAACCGAAATGGGACACCTTTTTGCAACTCCAAAATTTGTCAAAAAATTATGGGAGCTAATTTGAATACATACACTGTGTATCAGCCAAACGGAATAAGTTCGATAATAAATAAATGGGAGTAACGTTGGAATCCTATGATCTTATTTTTTTGCTGAACATTTTTGACAAAGTTTTTTCAAACAGGGTATTCCAGAAAAAGCTGTGCCGGTATCGATTTCAGTTTTTTAAATATTTCTGGTCTAGGCAGGCCGCACATCAAAGAAACATGAAACGTGAAAGATCAAACATGAAACAATAAATTACGAAAAGCGAAACCGTTTCTTACGTGCAAGAAACAAAAATAATTCTTGTTTCTTGTTGCAAATATAATTATTATATTTGCAAAGTCGTTTCAGGGTAGTGAAGTGTGAAGTAGAGTGTAGTACACAATGGAAAGTGAGGACGAGGTTGTTGTTGCTGTTGTGGCGTCTCTTTTATTATCATCAAAAAGCAAAAAAAAAAGGAAACGACGTTACTGGGTGCATCCATACAATAATATAAATCATAAAAATAGCATATATTTGGTTGCAAATGAATTAAACAATTATCCTGCCAAATTTGAATCGTTTTATAGAAAGAGTAGATATACAAACATTCACAAAATTATTACCTATGAAGAGAAACAGTGAAACTGAAACAAAAAAATAGAACGCGATCTATTTCATGAAACACGTTTCATGTAATAAAAATGTTTCTCGCGCATGAAACAAATTCGTTTCATTGGTGTGCGGACTTGTATTTGTTTGTTCTTATTCTTATTCTATTGGATACCGGCACAGCCATTTTTGGAATACCCTGTATAAAAATGTATAGCAAAAAACAAAATATATGGGTCTCATTTTTTAGAACAGGCCCCTATTCATTTGTGAATTAATTTATTCCATTTGGCTGAAACACATTTTTAAAAAAAATGAGGTCTGGTCTCACATCTATGGTACTCACAGACAGAAATCAGAAACCTATCAGAGAGAATTTCATTGGTTGAAATTATTCCGAAAATTGGTTGCAGACGATTTGCACCAATCAAAAACGGTCTGACTGTCTTGTGCATGTCCCGGTTTGTTTTTAACAGAAGATCAGGTTTTTTTTTAATGTGAATTTTAAACAGTGAAGGGAACTGGAACTATACTGGTTTATTCAATCAATATTACCTAAAAACATTAACGTAAAATGTAAAGAGTTAAAATTGAGAAACAATAATCTCCAAAATCTATATAAGTTGAAAATACAAGCTCTATAAATATAAAATTATCAACAAAAATGTTTTATTTAATCATTTCCAATGATTTAGTTTAATATAATATAATGTAGATATCACAATAATCAGCATACCAAAACTAGTATTGGTTATTTAATTTCAAGACGAAGATATATATTTTCAATTTAGATTATCCTGCTTCCAAATTGAAATCACAATTGAATAGCCCATGTAGCAATGCAAAAGGTTCTTATTAAAAATTGTTAGGAATTTTTCTACATTGTTTGTAGCACCATTAAGCAAAGCTCAACTATTTTTCAATATTTAAGTAATTTTTTAAAATAATTGGCAATCTTTTTCATTGCCTTTTTTAACATAATAATTATGTATAGTATGCTTTACCTAATCTATTTAAAAGATATTAATTAACCTGTATACAGTATGATGTAAAAACAAGGTTATATGGATTATCGCATAAATGATTACATAAGGATAATGCAGTATTCTTCGAGCTAATCACTCCGCAGTAGCCGTTGATTGTGTGGTTGTTGATTCGCGACCTAAAGAACTACCTAAAAAAATGTGAAAAAAATAATAAAGATTTTTTCACGGCTAATCAAAAATGTACCTGGTGAATCTGCATTTTCATTGATAAGTCTTTGCCTTTCTCTATACATAGATACCCTAATATTTTCCAGTTGATGGTATCGCAACAATTTAATAATAGCGCAAACCGTTAAGCCTACCCAAATGGCAAAAGAGCCCCAAACACCAAACTGTGCAGTGCCCAATTCTATATAAAAATTCTTTGTGTTGATTTTGTCCTTTCTGTCTATGTCTTGACCAGCAGCCATTTCACATCTTAAATAATTAGTGTTTATTAAAATTTTTGTAGTACCTACATAACATTGGGTGTGAACTTACGAAGGAAATCTTTGAGTCATATTTTCACACCATGCCATGAAACCAAAAGTAATCATACAAGCTGCAATAATAGTGCCTGCGCTCAAAAATATACCCGAAACTACATCGATAAAAGCTGACAAGAAGCTGCTATCGATACCCTTGTAAAGAAAAATTGATAATCTGAAACAAAATAAAAATTTCACAAGAATTTCAAAAAAAATCGCCCTAAGAAATATGTACCTGTAAATTTGAATAATAGCAACGAGACCCAGCATAACTCCAACAAATATTGTGTAATTACAATAGCCCTGCGAAGCCCAATGTACTGCTAGTTGTCCATCTGTTTCCTGCCATTCGCCAGTAGAAAATAAGAGACAATGGCCCCTAAAGATAACAGAAGGTTCAATCCAATAAGTAATCAAAGTAAAGTACTGAGAAGTTTTGAATGATTTTTTGAGCAAAACTTTAACAAATTATTAAGTGTTCTGAGCTGAGAATTGAGAATTTTAAAATAGAAAATATCTCTCATTGAGGAGGTCAAAGAGGACGCAATGCTCATCAAAATAAATGTACTTATCAGTATACACAAAATACTTACTTAAAATCATCTTGTTGCAAGCTCATAGGCACAATAATGCATAGCGACAGGACCAGGGCAATAACGTAGCCAGCAATTTGACTAAGCAATAAAATATTCGTGAGTGCCATTCTTTAGGATAAATTTTAAATTAAATGCATTTAACAAAAGAATAGTTTGTTTTGATTTTTCACAAAAACAACAAATATTTGTTTAAGTCAAAACAAGTGACATGTGACTAATAAATATGAATCATGTGAGCACGTGATGTCAGGACAAGGACAGTACCGTTTTCAACCCTGGTTAAGATCCAATAATTGCACATTTTTTTCATTTTTGCAAGAGAAAACTAGAATTTTATTTTAAAATGAGTTGAGGTGGGGACAAGTTAATTAAGTATCAAAATGGATTAAAACTCAAACGCCGCATTTCATCTTGTTTGAGTTTCTATAATTTTTCCTGTATAGCTTGGTTCAGCTTGTTCACTTCGTGCACTCTCAGTACTCTCTAGGCACTTCGACTTTTTGGGTTGGGCTTTTAAGTTGTATTTCTGTCAAGATTTTAAAACACTAGAGCTACTCGCTCCGGTGCTAGTCGCCCCCGATTTGAGAGGAACAGATGCGCTGGCTCTCGTGCATTTAAATGGTTTAGTTCGGGCTTGAGTACTGGTGCAATGCAACAAACACTTTTCGTCTTTCGAAAGGAATAGGCGCGTAACGCGCAACCAGTAGCATTTTGGGATTGTAGTTCAAAAATATATGTTCGAGCTGATATATTCTACAGATCATGAGCGAGTTTGCACGCTCTATTTTACAATGCACTGTCACATTTCACGAAACGAAATTGCCTAGAGCAAGTACAAGTAAGGTAGTGGAGTACGCCCATGACAAATTCAAAAAGTGGAGTGCAATAATTCGTGTGAAGAGCGAGTAAAATATCCCGAGTGCTGGAGCCGTGCTCGGGCAGAATTTGTATTCGGGCTGTTGACTCGCGCGATCAGCGTTCGAGATCGAATCGTGATTTTCGGCATGGAAACTCAACCCAAACAAACACATTTGCAAGAAGCAAATAAACATTTTCCGGGTTACATCGCTACAGTTCTATTTTCTAGTGCGGTTTTTGAGTTATTGCTCTATTACGGTAGAATGTTGCACTGACTCTCTACACTCGAGTCAATCCAAAATGTTATGTTCGAGCTGATATACAGAACATGGACGAGTATGCCCGATCTATTTTACAATGCCATTTTTTAAGGAACGAAGTTGTTTAGAGCAAGTAGGGTAGACGAATATACCATCGGATTCCAAAAGTGCAGTGCATTCGTGTTGATTCAAGTGAAGAGCGAGCAAAATGGATTCTCGAGCCGAGCGCGGGCAGTGCAAGAATTTGTATTCGGGTTGTTGACTCACGTGAGCAGCTTTCGAGATTTCTATGCGGCAATGCAAGTGGATTTATGGTAATCCAACCCAAACAAACAAATTTGCACGAAGCAAGTTAAAATTTTCGGGATTGAATCGCTACTATAGTTGTATTCCTTTCAAGAGTTTGAAACACTCGAGCTACTGGCTCCGGTGTTCAGTCGCCCCCGATTTGCAGGGAACAGATGCGTGGTGCAACAAACACTTTTCGAAAGGAATAGGGGCGTGAAGCCCCGGAGCTGTTCCGGAGCTCCTCCTAGGTGTGAAAGGAATACAACTTATGCCAGTTTTATTTTTCAGTGTGGTTATCCATACTAATAGGCGTACGCGTATGAGCCTGCACTGATCACCCTTTTCAAATAAATGAACGGTAAATTCAAGCTGGAAGAACTCAGATCAAAATACCGAACGCAGTCACTTAAGTGCAGCTTCTTTTTTCAAACACAAGTCACAAGTGTGAACGAACGTCAAAATTTGAGGTTATTTGTAAAAGACAACTTGTGAAAAGTTTGTTTACATCTTTGCTTGGTTATTGGTTTCATTAAAATTTCCCAGTTTTTGGCTTGGTTGTTTGGATTGTTGATTTCTATTCTAATTCCTTTGAAAATACATAATTTCTGTCCAGGTTTATTCATCCTCTTGTTATCAGCGATCAGCGGCAAGTCCAATTCCTGTAATGTAAAATTAAAATTGTTTTTATTTTATCAAAGTTATAAATTGGTGAAAGACATGGACGAGGAAAAAATGAAACGAGCAGTACTGAAAAAATTCAGAAAAGTAATAAACGACATCACCGTCGGGCCAAATTCATTTGAAAAGCTCGAGATAAGCAAACAATCTCCACCACAAAAATCTAGTCCAAAGGTAGCTCAGAACAATCTAAAAAGCAGCCCTCATACTGAAAGAGGCATCCCATCAAGACAATTTCTGAAATTCTTGGATTTAGAAAGGCAATGGGAAGTTGGAAGTGCTCTGAACGAAAGAATGAATCGTTTCAAGCAATTCAGTGTAGACTTAGAACAGCAACAACAGAAATCTTGGCAAGAAACACAACAATCCTTCATAGCGGATATGGAAAGGCAAGAAATGTATATTTTAGAAGCCAACCAACAGTACGACTTGAAACAGTCATCTCAGCACGCTAAATTGGCGCAACTAACACAAAATGCTGTACAAAGAATGTCTCAGAGGCAAGAATTACTTAAAGAGAAAGAAAGACAGCGGCAAATTTTATCTGAAAAAATAGAGAAAATTAAAACTAATCAACAAAAATTTAGTAATGAGTTTCAACAAATTTTGGCCTTTCTTAAAACCTGTTCTGATAGTGCCGAATTGAAGACGTGTAAAGATTTAGATATTACCTTGCTGAAAACATTACCTGCAGAAATTGAAGGTGTATTAGAAAAATGTAGAGCGGACAACATTTCAAGCATTACAGATAAAGATGTACAAAAATCTGACGAAGTTGTGTCGAAAATTATTGATTTTAAACAAAAATTTAGGGCAGCAATTGAATATATTAATAAAAAGAAAGAAGAAGCCGAAATTGTTATTGAGAACAAGCAAACAGCAGAAGCTAATCCAGTCAGTTCTGAACAAAGGCCTACTCTTAGTCTTTTAAGCAACAATGAAAAAATTCCTGATAAATGTATTGCCACTAATGACTTTCATGCCTATATAGACTTAATAAATTTTCATGAAGAATATAAAAAGAGCTTTAGTGAAATAGAAAATGATCCAGCACTGAAAAATTTCCAATTTCAGTGCAAAAAAGCTATTAGAATGCCTGTGAATTCATTATCAGCAACTACTAGTGAACATATTATAGACAAATATAGCAAACTGTATAGGTAAGAATCATGAATGAATTTTCAATCTGTAGCTTATCATTTTATTAGTTTACTAACAGGACAACCTGTGACTGTCAGTGAGGGTAACAAAGATATAAACGCAGCAAGACATCCTCAAGGAATACGATTTTGTATGGATCTTTTAGCTAAAGCATTTGTGCAGCAAGGAGACCTAATAATATCGAATAACCCGGAATCAGCTTTCTGTTACACCTCAGTCATGTTATCTTTATGGAACGATTTTCCTGATTTTGGCAAACTTTCATTAGCCTATTTTTATGAATTGTGCCCTTACTTGGTACCACTTTATTTTGCACAACAAGCTGGAGAAAGTGATGAAGAGTTTTATAAAAAATTAGGATACCAGTATAGTGATGGAAAAATTGAAGAGCAAGACAAATTTATCAAGCGGATGAGAGGTAAAAAGGATACTCAAACTAATTATAAATAAATGGGTATAAGTGAAAACTTTGCAGGTATTATGAAATTATATTTTGCACTTATGATTGCAAAGCCCAAGCGAGGACAAAACGGATCTCCCTTCAACCTTAAACATGGTTGGAAATGGTTAGCTTCATTATTACGGTTGGAACCACAAATTAATATAGACCAACAAATTGATATAACAGCAACTGCTCTGCGTGTATTTTTGGAGACTGTTGGTTTTGAAATGGAAGCCAGATATGGCAAAATGTTTCAAAAATTGCTGATAATAATCATTCAAGTAAGTTTTGATTTTTGTTTCTATAGAATAACTGAATCATTTTAATTTAGGCATTTTTACCAAAATGTAAAGATAAATGTACTGGAGCGGCAGTGACACGATTGGAAACATTACTAGGCAATTATTTGCAAGATAGAAAATTTGAGAAGCCAAATGGTTATAGTGAATATGCAGATTGGTAGATCAAAAAATATATATATGTTGTCTAGATATAAGTATTCAATTTTATTTTAAATTTTCCAATTCAAGTCTCTAAGCTGTTGCAATTGCTCAGTGACAGCAAAGACAATATTTTAAGCACAAAATGTTTTTTACAAATCAAATCTTCAACTCAACTACTCGTATTATTATTAATAATTAAAAGTCTTTTATTTGGGTGACTGGCTACTTCCAATTCGATGCAACCTATACTCCACTGTTCATCATTGTCCTGCTTTGTACCCGTCAAAAACATAGTACCCTTTTGTTTGGGGCCTTTCAATGGCACTTTGAATTTAGCCAAGTTTTCCTCTACATTCACAAAGTTTTCTTTATTTCCCACATCAATCCTACCCTCCTTTATCGGTTCCCCCAGTAAAGATACGGCCCCTGGATGTTTGCGGACTAGTTTCATAGCTTCATTGTAAAAGGGGGCTCCTTTGATTTTGCTCTGCATATTGTCTCGCGCTAGGAAACCCATAATTATTGTAGCTACACCTCCGATAGCCCCAATTTTTACTAGGGTCTGATTACTGACTGTCATTAATTATTGTGAAATTAGATTTTGAATAAAATATTTTTTTAATTTTTAAATTAAATTTATTTTTGAATTTTTTAGTGGTTATGTTTGTCTGTCATATCATATCTTGTCACCAGTCACCTCTCGCCATGTCAAATAGAGCCGATAAACGCGATGGAATAATTAATAACCTAGTTAAAAATGGTATTACCATTCACGTAAACGCGGTTTTGGTTATTTTTGATCATTCGGTAGTGACGTCATCATTTGGCCCTTTGTGACGTATTGAATCAGCTGTTTTTATCTTTGGTTCAACCATTTTTAACCTACCTCTGGAGCTAGGTTATTATGTTCTGTCCTTGTCTGAAAAAGTAAATAAAGGAGAAATACCCGAAATGGCGGATTTTGACGGGTTTTTCGCTGTTCTGTTGTGTTTTTTTGTGCAACTCCAAAAAATGAACTTCGAACTGATCGAAAAATCAATCTTTGAAGATTTGATCTAGGTTAACACAAAACTAAACACTAAAACTTCACCAAATAATAAACATAATAATAATGTACTGTACTTTAGGTGAAAATTTACTTAACAAAAAACAATCACAAGACAGAACAGAACGGAATAAACAAAAAAATTGGGGTTAACGGAATAACCATTAGGCATTCCAGGTTAATGTCATAACCGATCCGCCATATTAGTTTGGGGGGCACACAAAAGCCAAACATAACCTGATTCAATGTTAAACCAAGAATTTTCAATCTATTTTGTGAAGATGCCTTCTATTTGCTGCGTTGTTAGGTGCTCTAGTAGAGTGGAAAGAGATAAAGAAAGGTTTTTCAGGATCCCAGCAGCATTAAGAGATCTAGGGAATCGTCTAAACGAGCTAAAAAAGGAACGACGAAATCTGTGGATTAAATGCCTCAAAAGGAGAGATTTAACTGAATCGTTTCTGAAAAATGCTCGTATTTGTTCATAACATTTTGTTAATGGTAAGTATTATGACTGTCTTGTTAAAATACAAAAACACATTTATATTGAAAAATTGGTTTGTTTCTACAAGTAATATTTACTTTTAATACCTTTTAGGTAGTCCAGCAGAACTTGAATAACCCTTTATATATGCCTTCAACTGCAAGCCTGTGTAGTAACTGTGGGTGTGGGTCAAATATTCGGATAAATCCAAAATTGAAACCTCTGGCAACTCATTGATACTTAAAGTAAACTCATTAGGTAGAAGTTTATAAGGATCTATATTGGCAATTATTTGTATTTTTTGGTCATACCGACATTTCACATCACTAGCTAACGATGAATAATAGTCAATGTTAGCCATTCTACCACAAAACAACTTAAAACTTATTGAGAGAATTTAAGAACGCAAAAATTCGGAAACACAATCTCAAAGAACGGTGTAAATACTGATCTAGGCTTTGTTTGCCCCCCAGCGGACCTGTCAAAAGTCACGTGACCTGGAATGCCTAATAGCATAAACGCGAGCTCTCAGGTTAATCAAAAAGGGTCGACCATTGGGGTCGACAATCGCTGTTTCAAAGATAACCAAAGGACTGACCAAAGATATAACCCCGGTTAACAATATTCCATCGCGTTTAATCGGCTCGCGTGTTTTCTTTCTCGTTTACTATCAAAGTTTTTATTTACTAACTAAAGTTCGTTTTTTTTTTAAAGATAATTCCCCAAGTCAAAAATTTAGTAACTATGTTGGCAACACAAGCCTTTTCTACATAAAAAATTTGAAAGCATGACAATTTTACATTGTATTGCCAACATGATGTCATTTTGACTTTCATCTTTAAAAAAAACACACTTGACACAACTCGTGCTACGCACTTGTTGTGTAACTTCCATACTCGTATCTTAAGTATGCTGTTAAGTCAAAGTCACTTGTATCTTAAGTACATCTCTATTATTTTATTGAAAACCCCCATCCAATGGAAGAAACGCTATGATTTTTTCCCATTATTCCATAATCCCTTGTCTAAGCATATTCCCCATATAATTTTATTTTATTTTTCAGTTTTTACCGTCCAGGGGTCGTATTTTCGAATATTTTCGTATACGAAATTGCATACGATTTCGAATGCTCTCCATTTTTACATTGCTGTCAGTCAAATTTCGTGTACGAAATGTACTCGAATGGTTTCGAAAATCGCACCCCACAGATAACGATATAACCCTTAGGTGCTTTCCAGTGACCCACTTGAGTTACTCCTGAGCAGCTCAGGAGTGCTCCGCAATTACTTTGCGCGTTCCAGTGCTTAGAGTGTTGTACACTTGAACTACTCATTTCTGTTATCCCCTGCCCCCTCGTGCACCTACCATTATTTCGGTGTTTCATGCTTTGAAATTCCGAGTCCGAAATGGTGGGGGTTAAGAAAATTGAGTTCGGTTTTGACGGTTTCTTATTCTTCGAACACGAGAGCGTTCCAATGCTGCTTATGTTGAACAGTTCAAGAGCGTCACTTGAAAGCTCTTGCCGCGCGCTGGAGTGCGTTTAGAAATCGAGTGTGAAGGTAGAGTAGTTGTTTGTCAGAGTGCTCTGACGTTATTACTTGGAGTGCACTCCGGGTGCGCTATTTCTGAATGTATGGGGGCGTTGCGGTGAATTTTTGGGTTGACGCTCGGCGGAACAAGCAGAGCCATTACGGAGTAACCTGACGTCACAGGGTGTACACCGTGTCAAACCGAACAAACTCGTGCAGAAGTGCTAGGTTGAGCGATCAGATGACTATTGTTTATTTTTTTCAGTATAATATACTGAACATATTATGTTTTCTGGAGTCCGAGTCCGTATTCCGCCTTTCACTAGAGTTTTCTAGTTTGTTTTTTATTTTGGTCGATATTTTTCAAACGGCCCCATTTTCTCATGTGTTCTGCTAAAATTGTGTCGTGCTAAATTAACAATAATTAACTTTAACACTTCTATGCTATGGGCCCTATGGCTTGGGAAGATATGTCCAATACCAGTAATGAGGACTACCGAGAAAATTTAATTAAAAGTATACAATCAAATGATTGTTCACATTTCAATAAAATAGCTAAAAGTACCTAACAAATAAATGGTAAATTTAGGATTGTTTATTTATGTTCACCTGGAAAATAGGTTAGACATTAAACACATCTCATCTGCTCATGCACGCTCCATCTGCCCACTACACAAACTCGGAGTTTATCGAGCTAACTCGGAGTTTATCGAGCTCGCTCGGAGCGCTTAAAATATGTTAAACCAAACACAATCAAGCGTTGTCGGAGCTTCAAAAATAACAGGAAAGAGACAAAAGTGTGAACTCTGAGTGCACCGAGCGTGAACCCAAACGCGGCCTTAATGTCATAAATCACGTCAAACCTGGTAAAAACCGCGGGGCGTTTTTCAAACCAGTCCCTGAGTGGGGTCATTTTGGCGAATAGGCTCGTTCAGCATATTTTTTTATTACATATTCTAAAAGAGCGTATTGAGTTTAGCAGTTGTGCAAAATTTCATAATTTTCCGAGCCCTTGTTCATATTTAAATAAATTATCAAAAAGCTCCAAGTTTGGAAATTTCGAAACACGCGGTGACGTCACTGCATCTCTCAAGTTGGTCGTGTGACGGCCTTTAGCCCGTCTTGACTCGAGAGATGACGTCATACCATCTCTAAGCGATGAATTTCTGAGGCATAATGTTTTATTATACAAAGCCGCATAACTTTTTTAATATTTATCCAATTGCGCTGAATTTTTTTTTGTGTGCTATATGTGAGTAATACTCCATAAAAATATCAAAAAACGTGGTTAATGGAACCTCACTGAACGAGCCTATTCTGGGGCACGTCAACTCTCGATTTCTGAATGATTCTAGCGTAACGCTCCGAGTAAGCACCTGGTAATTTATGAACGGTTTAGAGTTATTCTAGGGTCACTCTCATACCCAGAGTGCTATTTCTTAACGAAACTGCTGTTCGCCGGCAAGGCGCAAGCCAGTGGCGGATCTATAGCACCATTCTGGGGGGGGGTAGAGCTTCTCAACCAGTAACGGCTCGTGGTCTATATTTGAAGGGGTTCTCACCCAAAGTAGGACCCAGTAGGTGCCGCCGGAGACAGAAATTTTTTTCGGGTGCCATGCCCAAAACGCATTTTATGCCTCCAAAAAATATACTTTGTGTGTTTTTTTATTGATTAAAATTTTCTTTTGTCCCTCTGGGGGGTGGGGGGTAATTACCCCCTTTACTCCCCCCCGTGTATCCGCTACCAGCGCAAACACTGCGACACGTTTCGGGTTATTTCACCGCACGCCTCTGGCGACACCGCCGTCTTTTGACCTTGAACGAAAACTTAGAATTTGATCCCCGGCCATATACGAGAACATATAAATTTCCAATGTTAAAACGAAATTTTGTACTATTCTGCCCCATTTTGACGACCACGGATTTGTTTAATAACTATTTTATTATTTTTATTTGCAAATATAATAGTATATCAAAGTATAAGTGGATATTAAGGTCTTTAAAACACGCGCGATTTTTCGAGCACGACGGCGCAGCCGGAGTGCTCGAAATAGAGCAAGTGTTTTAAAGACCAGTTATCCACGAATACTTTACACTATTTTTTTTTATTGCTATACGTTCAAATCATAAATTACTAATAATTGTAGAATGCTAAATTTGTGCTTGACACTTGTTACATTTTATTTGACGTTATCTACAAGTACCTAACCTACTCCTGACAAATCAATAATTAAAAAGTTGACATTTAGACCTTTCTCGGGTTGTTGGTTGTTGATGTTGTCATTGGTAACTTTAAAACAGGCGCGTTTTTGAATGTTGGATTTAAACACGCTGAGGAGTACTTTAAATAAGTGAAATAGGTTATCAATAAAAAAAAACAAATTAATTAGGTCCATTTCCACAGAAATCACAAACCAACAAATTTCAATTGATTGAAAATATTCAGGAAACTGGTTGTTGGCGATTTGGACCAATCAAAAACGCTCTGACTGGTTTGTGATTTCCTGTGGAAACAGACCTATTTAAATAAACGACATCAAACAGGCCAGACGTCATTCTCCAGGTGACTGATTTGAATTTTTTTTTATCTCTATTTCCGAGATGGAACTTTT